GCAAGAATGAAAAGGATATGATTTCTCATAAGAGTCTGACACAGGGCATACGCTTGACAGGTGCTCAAGAAATATTCCTTCCCCTTACTCCTAATGAAATTTAAATTCTTGGCTCACAGTCAAAGATTTTGTACAGTGCCCTTTAACCTTCTGTTAATTTCTGGAAAGCCCCAACCCAATCCAAACCAGACAAAACTAACAGCAAATGACCAACAGAGCATTCAACAGAGAGCTTTCCCACCTCCTTAGGCCTACCAACAAAAGTGATGGTTTTTCCTGTTTTATGATTATGTCAGATTATTTTATTACACATATATTTCTTTTTTATATCTTTCTGCCACCCCCTCTCACCACTACCACCAATTTTGTTCTCTGTTGATTCCTCTTAAATCCTTAAGTAAGACCATGATGCAGTTGCTTGAGTCATCCTTCACTGGGTTCCTATGACATAAAAAAAAGGCTAAATCAAATGTCAGAAGTGACACTTTCTTTTCTTTGATAAACTATAGAAATAAACACTTCTTTTTTTTTTTCCTAGGGTCAAAAGAATGGACAGTAAATTTGGAGCAGTGTTCCTCCTAAATTTGCCTTATATGTGATATTTATTTTGAAATATTTACAAAATCATTTTGATCTGTAAACCCTTTCCCTCTATGTCCTTATAAAATAAAAATTTCAATAGTTTTATATTTTAGCCTTTTGAAATTAACTTTTTTCTGATTTATATATTATGACATAAAAATTGAAATTATATTATTGTTATAGAAACGTTAAAATTTGAAATATAAATGTACAGTGAATGAATTTTGTCTTTAAGTTTCTCTTGTTCCTTGTGTGGTGTTTCATTAAACTGTAATTCTGTATTACCTAAATTGAGGAAACGTTTTTCTCAGGTTTTCCTCATTGCCATTATCAAAGTGACTCAAAATCTTCAAAGCACAGTTAAAACACTGAATTGTGCCGTAATGAGAAGGGCCTTCTGCATGGGGAGTGTGACCCTCCCTCCTAGACTCTCTGTCTCTTGTCTTTGGCACTCATGACGGTTTAATAGTTAGAAGGCACCTTCAAGGCCCATTAGGCTAACTTCTCATCAAATGTCCCAAGATCTATATGCCCCTTACAGTTCAGCCATTCCCAAGAGGCAACCCATTCAGCTACTGAGTAGCTCGAAATGTCCAGGTTCTTTCTTCATTTGGTTAAAGATCTGCTTCTTGCATTCTTCATGCCTTGGTCCTGCAACTGTAGTTCTTTATAGCATAATGCAGTGGCTCTCAGATTGTGGCCCCCAGACCAGCAGCATTGGCATCACCTGGGAACTTGCATGAACTGGAAAGTGTGGGCTTGGGTCTCATCAATCTGGTTTAGGAAGTTGTCCTCCAGGTGACAATGATGCACACTAAAGTTTGGGATGCACCGATGTCCTATAGTAGAAAGTGGGTGGGGCTTTGGAATGAGGAATCCCTGGCCCAGAAATCCAGATCCTGGCCTTCTGTGATCTTAGGGTACCCCCTCAGTTTTCTCCTGGTCAGATGGAGCTGATGGGGGTAGCTAATTCACAGATGTGCTGAGAGAATTCAGTGATACCCCATAGGTAAAGCACAGAGCAGAAAGTCCAACATACCATAAGCACTCAAAATTGGCGTGTAGTGTTATAGAGTCATGCTACGCATTTATTGGATGCCTTTGAATAACAGTCTACATAGAGTCCATTCATTTGATAATTAACAAGTTGAGAAAAACATTTATGTATAACACTCTAGACACAAAACTGTTAAATACCTTCATTTTACAGATGAAAAATCCAATATTCAAAGAGGCTAAGTGATATGTTCAAAGGCACACAGCTGGTCCTACAATTGATGCCATAGTGGCCAGAGCTCCAACTCTTGATAAAATGCCCAGCGGTCACCTTAAATTTCTTCAGAACAGAGTGGGAAGTAAATAAGAAAGCAAATGTAAGCAAATAAATAACCAGGGCACCCAATAATGGGAAGGAATGCTCAAATAATATGAGCATGATGCAGTTACTTAAGTCATTCTCCACTGGGTTCCTGTGACATAAAAGGAAGTCCTGTTGTTGGTGTCTGGAAGTCCTGTAAGTGCCTCCCAGCCCCTGGCTCTTCAGTCAACACATGTTTATTTGTCATTTTAATGGAGTAATAAAATATCTAGTCCTGGGTCTGGTGATTACACAAGTAGGGACTTCAAATGTGTCAGTACATTATCTGAACATTTTAATCTTTTTGTACACAGTTCTGAGGATTCCAAACAGATACAAAATTTTTATGGTACCAAGCGAAGTAGTCCAGTACCATGTCTTTTAGGTTAATTGAAATCCCATGTATAACATTAAAAATTATATTCAGATATCACTAAATATGTGGGAGTATTTCTTGCCCTTACAGTTAACAAGAAATGAGGAGTCGCCGGGCGCGGTGGCTCAAGCCTGTAATCCCAGCATTTTGGGAGGCCGAGACGGGCAGATCACAAGGTCAGGAGATCGAGACCATGCTGGCTAACACAGTGAAACCCCGTCTCTACTAAAAATACAAAAAAAACTTAGCCGGGCGAGGTGGCAGGCGCCTGTAGTCCCAGCTACTCGGGAGGCTGAGGCAGGAGAATGGCGTGAACCCGGGAGGTGGAGCTTGCAGTGAGCTGAGATCCGGCCACTGCACTCCAGCCTGGGTGACAGAGCGAGACTCCGTCTCAAAAAAAAAAAAAAAAAAAAAGAAACGAGGAGTCATTTAGCTATGCCCTTGCCTGGAAGAACTAAAAGATTATTTCTTGCCTTCATATGCCACAAAAGTCTGTTTTACAGACTGGAAGGAATAAGCACCTTTACTTTAAACAACTTGCTTCCAGTTTTGTGTGGCTGTTGATATTATAGAACTAGTGGCAGAGGCCAAGGCAGGAAAATGGGCTGGGTTACTTATAACTCTTTGAATGTGGACACATCAGCTTGTGGGAAGGAAACTATTTAAAATGGGGCTTAGGGAAAGGGGGAAAAAATCCCCTTTCCCCATATGAGATTCTTCCACGGTGTTGTCATGCAATCTTGAAAACCTCCATAGAACAGTAGATCACTCTCATTGGATATATGCAAATTATCTGAGACCCAGTGGTTTCCTGCCAGGAAAAACTTATAATAACAGAGCAAGAATGCAATCTGAGCCCTTGCTTTCTGAAATCCCTGAAAGAACAGACTCATTCTTGACAGGGCAATTTCAGCCCTTGACATTCCAGGAAATAGCTCCATAATGTCATTTGGGCTGGGTTTGTAACCAGTCCTAAGATGTGGAGACACAAATGCAGTATGTAAGATTTCAAATATCAGTTCAGGGGCCATTCTTAATTTTCACATGGAGTTTAACAACAAAAACCACCATCAGAAGAAAAAACATGCAAGCCATCCTAATTAAATTTAACATTGTCACTACTAATTAAACCCAATATAGGAAAAGGAAGGGTTTCTGCCAAGAAATTACAGACACATCCTGAAGCCTATTTCCTTTCCATTTCCTAGGTACTGGGTCCATGCCATATCCAGGATGTGACACCCAAACAAGACTGTATTTTGATCATTAATATATATGCATAAGTTAGCCCCACCCTGGGGCCTCAAAGGCCTTTATGAGATGTGCTGGCCTTCGCATTTCGATGTGTTTCATTTTCTCTGGGTTCAGTACAGCTGAAAAAGGTTATGAGACTCAGGTTAAAAGTCAGGAAACGGATCAGGGTCCTATACTATGACATCATTTTCTTGCAATGCAATGAAGCAATGACATTTCCTGGAGGAAAAGTTATTAGAGATGACAGGCAGCCTCCGTTAGGTCCAGTATTTGGAGTGGAAGGTGTCAAGCCTGCAAGCCTCCAGCTCCAACCTCCTTCCTTGCTCTTCCTTGGCTGGGCCTTCTCAAAGGTGAAGTGAAAGAGAAAGAGAGAGAGAGAGAGAGAGAGAGAGAGAGAGAGAGAGAGAGACCAAGTCCACTTCCATTTTTTTTTTTATAGTCCTGGTATATTTTTAAATGAAGGTATGCTAAAACATAGTTATAAAAAGGATTTTTCATTATTAAAGCAATTAACACTCCACAACAAAAAATATATATGATACAAGTTCGCAATTTACAAAATAGTTTTCAGATTTATTTTTTTAAAGTGACATATAGGCAGAGTCACCAGGTATGACTGTGCAGGTTGACCAAGGGGAAGAGTGGGGATTAAAATCTGGCTCACGATTGCCAAACCTGGTGCAGGGCTGTATCTGCCTTTTTCTGATTCACACAAATGTTACACCACAAGTGATAGGTGGTCTTACAACAGGGCATAGGTTTCAGCGAACAATGAACCAGTCTCCTGCTTTCCATCCTAAGTATATCTTTGATTGTAGGAATAACATATCTTGGGGTTATCTCCAGAAGTACAAATTTGGGGAGCTGCCTGATTGTGAGTCCTGGGCCAAAATGAGCCTCCTGGCAGGTCACTCCGGGCACATAGGGAATCTTTTCAGATTTATGAAAAGGTGTTGTTGATAAGACAACACAGGCTGTGTGAAGCACGTGATGTGGAGAACAGGAGCTCTGGGCTAGGTTTCAGCCTGGCCAGGTGCTTTTGTGCAAATCGCACAATTGTAGTGACACTACTGGCCTCCCATATGGTAGACCTTGACTTGGACTCCATATGCAGATGGACCTGCCCCAGCCCTTAACAACCAGTTTACAGACCCGAATCAAAGCCAGAAGAGTTTAAGGGCTCAAGTCAACATGCTGAGACTTCTACATCAAACCACTCTTGCTTCTCCATCTCTGCCTTTATCACTGGGTTTAGATAACCGGGCTTCTGCTTCATACCTCTGTTCCAGCGTCTGGGTGCCAGATGAGTGCTGCCTGAAACTGGGTGTCTAGTCCACTTACCGTGCCCCTTCTGCGGACTGCAGGAATGTTCCATAAACAATGAACTGAGGGCTCCAGCCTTTGGACTCTTTGTTCCTTCTACTTGTCCTCCCACTTGGATTCTCCTGGGAGTTAGCAGAATCCATCAAGCAATAACTGCAAACATGACAGAAGAGAACAACTCCTTAACACTTTTTTTCCATTTCAAAACAAAATACTGAGACACTTTTGCTTCAGTGAACGAGAGCAAGCAGGGGTGAGAAGTTTCTATTGCAAAAAAAATCAAACGGTTATGACTTCAGAAATGTAAATTCCTAATGTCTTTGATAGATTTATATATCTAAGCAATGTTTCTAGTCATTGTGCTAGGTTTGCCAAACAGATTTAAGCTCGCTATGGCAGTTGAGTGGCTAGGTGTCAGCCCTCACGAATCAAGAGTGCTTCTATAAATCATTTCACAGTAACTGGATGGACCTTGCAGTGAGAAATATGCTCTCTCCTGGAGAAATTAGCAAATATCTGGAAGGCTTATACATTTCCCCAAGATTAGTCAAAACACAAGCCTAGTCGTCACACCTTTCCCTCATTATCCTGTGGTTGTTTTCTTAAACGTTGTGCGTCTTCATAAATGAGTCACTCTTTCCAAGATCTGTCAAAAGTATCAGTGGTTATAAGGCTGGGAAGCATACCAACCCTAGAAAGAAGTACAGAACTTTCAGTTATAGGCAGGAATGTAAAATGTCCAGAATTACTAGCGTTTTATTACTTTGCCAAATTTGCATTCTTACACCATCGAATCATTCCTTTTTAAGGATTCATTTTCTTATAGTTAAACCTAGGAGGGAGAAAAAGGTATTTATTTTGAATGATATATTCGTATAGTTACAAAATCTGGAGCCTGTATTTTTTACCATTTGAATAATGCTGCTGCTTGCCCATACACGTTGAAAGTGTTGTTTAACTTAAATATACAGATCAGACTTAGTTTAAGACTCTACCCTTTCACCTTGCTCTAGGCAAGGAGAAAGATCAAAACTTCCTATATTTTTAAAGATGACCCCATCTTTGTTTTGAATGCTTCTCACATCTCCTGTTTGTAGAAGCTCCTACAAAGACTGCATTGTTTTTCTATTCTATAAATCTACTTCATAAAAATAAGACTTGCATTGCCCATTCGGCATCCTAGAAGACATAATTTACCTATGAGGATAGAGTCTTTATGATGATTTTTTTAAATCATAGCATTAAAAAAATAGATATTTTCAATAGAAAAAGTTGTCAGAATTGGTAGGTGAAGAAAGGTATTCATAATTGACATGTTATAATGATAAAAATGATTTAGAAAAATGAAAAAATTTAGGTTATCAATTCTGCCTTGAAATACCCAAGTGACCAAAGTATTTTATATATTTCATTTTTACTTTAAAGTGACCCTAATTGATTAATTCATTCACTTTTTCTTAGGTTGAAATAGAATATAAAATAATTTTAATTTCACTTAGTTCATTAATATATTAAGAATCAAGAATTAAGAATATGCATGCCGGGCACAGTGGCTCATGCCTGTAATTCCAGCACTTTGAGAGGCCAAAGTGGGTGGATTACCTGAAGTCAGGAGTTCGAGACCAGCCTGGCCAACATGGTGAAGACCTGTCTCTACTAAAAATACAAAAATTAGCCAGGCATAGTGACGGGCACCTGTAATCACAGCTACTCAGGAGGCTGAGGCAGGAGAATCACTTGAACCCGGGAGGCAGAGGTTGCAGTGAGCCGAGATCACACCACTACACTTCAGCCTGGGCGACAAGAGCAAAACTCTGTCTCAAAAAAAAGAAAAAAAAAGAAAAAAAACCCCAAAAAACAAGAATATGCAGGATGCCAGCCAGGGGTCAAGATGCAATGAATTGGGAAATGAAATCTCCCAGTCCACAAAATAAAGATATTATAAAAGTAAACATTACAAAGTAGTTTGAACAGGTTAAATACTTACCAGGATAAGGACTGAAAAGCAAATCATTTTACTTTTTCAGGTTTCCATTCTCTCACCCATAAAACAAAGGAGCCAGTTAATTGAATGTATAACATTCTGGGACTAAAAGAAATACGTGTCACTGTTTCAAGTGAATGTAATGTGTACAAGCTTTCACGTGCTTTGTTTGGCAAACTTCATCAGGAAAATATGCTCAAAGTTGAATTATGATTTCAGATACGAAGATGGACACTATCATAGACATAGTGAAAAACAGGAGGAAAAATATGGAGCTTGGCCATAAATAGCAGAGAATGCCTAAACTGAATGGATGGCCTGGGCAGGAGGGAGCCAGAGCAGAGAGCTGCAAAGTGAGATTGGGCTGAGTGCACTGCAAAGCTCAGATCAATCAACAGGACTTTATTCTGCTCAGGTTACTTTATTTGTTAAGGGATTCTTAAGGGGGTGCCTGAGATAACAGAGCCAAGGATTATAAACTGTGCTAAGTATAATAGACTGCAAAAATATCCTAGCATCTAGCTTTGTAAGACTAGCAGAGGAAGGACATCTATAACTAGAGAGTGCTTACCAAATATTTTGAGAATGTTCTGAGGTTCCACTTAAACAATGGATCTTGGCTGAGGTTTGGAAACAGCAGTTGCAGGGGAATGGTAACCAAAATGGACTTATTCTCTTTGAACAACCAACACTTGGGAAGGGGACTAAATTGCTGCAAAGAAGCAGTTTGGCTGTACACCAAGGAAGAATCTTCACATGTTCTTAAAACATAAACAACACTTTGGTATAGTAAGAAGTTTTCCCACAAGACTCATTTCTCCCAGAGATAGAAAAGTGAGGAAAACCTGTGATTCTCTGGAGTGCTGTGTCTCTTATGCAATGAGATCTTGGTCAAGTCCAGTGCATTGCCCTTTTTGCTTTGCTTGCCAGGAAGCTGGAAACCGAATTTAGATTTAATTCTAGGACGTACACTAAAAGGTCTAACCTTGTCTTTTACTTTTAAATTACCGCTTTGTCTTTTGCTTTTATCTTGAAAATTTTGCTGTATTTGTATCTGTTATTATATGCCACCTCATTCATTCATCTAGTTCAAAGATATTTATTGAGCACGTACTTTGTATGAGACACATCAAGTTTTTTTAGAAGACAGACAGAATGTGGCTCTGGATTGGCAGGCAGGAGACCTGAGCTTTAATATCAACTCTGTTTCTGACTTGTGTTGTGTTTCAGTCTTAGGGCTTGATGTTTATACTCAGAATACAGTTCAGGCATTTTCCAGATGAACAAAGGCTCTGGGGCATGTAGCTGGTTTTCCTAATAACTCACCCCATCTTCCTCTCTTTTGAGAATGGATTTTTCCCCCAAAGGTCTTTGATCCTACAGCTGCAGACATTCTGGCACCAGGGAGCCTTAAAGGTCAAGGATTGAAGACACACAGAGGTCAATGAAATCAGGGGACATCTTAGTAACTGCTGAGAACCTGTGGGGGAGAGCACTGTGGCTTCCAAGATGAATGAATGATGTCATTGGTGGTATAAATAAGCATGCACTTGCTAAGCTCTGACAGGAATCCAACAGGTGTGTTCTGGAACAGTGCAAACAGAAGAGACCCTTCAAAGAAAACAGCCGGAAAACTGCTTCCTTTCACCTGTGAGGTCTTCTTTTTGATTGCGGGCTCCCAAAGATTGAGCACCATGGGGTACAAAGGCAAGCGCGTGAACTTGATCCTGTTTTCTCATCTGTGGAATAGGGAGGTTGGACCCACTACTGTCATCTTCTAGCCCCTCTGACTCTAATTGTCTAGATTTTATGACTCTCAATTCTCTTTTCAGCCTTCTGGCTCTACCACTCCACCCAGAGTTCCCCTTACCATCCTCTTCAAATACAATAAAAACAATATGCAAATAAAGACAGCAAAAACACTTGTATAATGGCAATACTGAAGGACAAGATTGAGACCTACTTAAGTATTATTGAGTTATATCAAAGACTTGCTGGATAGCTGGATGTGGTCATTACTTCCCAAAATATATCACTTCCGTCAGAGCATATCCAAATCCATAACAAACTATGTTTACACAATTCTACTATGTATGCATATATGAACCATATTCCCATATTGCTTAGCACAGTGATATGTATCAATAAATGTGAGAGTATCTGAGTAACTTTTGAATCTAAGAAACAGCTAACAAATATTTTTATTTTACATCAGTAATTTATATGTAAAACAAATATCTGGGAGAATAAAGGTGCAAATACAGAGAAGGCACAATTCCTGACCCAAAGAGTTTCTTAATTTAGTGGAAGTGCATAAAAATGTAAGCAGTATTGTGTAAAAAATATCTAGTAAGTTCAGTGGTCTTTAAAATATGCACATATGAAATACTACCAGCTTATTTACAGTGAATATTAATATTGGACACCATCCACGACATTAAGTGCTGAGCATGCAAAAAGATAGCAAATGGCCCTGCGCTTGATAGCCCTGTAATCTTCAAAATGATATACAGTTGTGCCTCAGTAAGGGGGCAGGATTAGGACCCCACATATACCAAAATCAGAAGATGCTCAAGTTCCTTATATAAAAGTGGTATATGCTATAACCTTGGTACATCCTCCTTTGTACTTTAAATCATCTCTAGGTTACTTAAAATACTTAATACAATGTAAATGCTATGTAAATAATTGTTATACTATATTATTTCTGTTATTTTTAATTGTTGTATTTTTTTCATTTGCTTTAAAAAATATTTTGATCTGTGGTTGATTGAATCCATGAAAGTAGAACCCCTGATTGAATCCATGAAAGTAGAAAGTAAAAAGGGAGGGCCAAGTATACATGATTCATTCATTCCTTCATTCTCCAAACAAGTATTGAACACTTACTATGTGGAAAACACTGTGATAGGCACTTTGCAGGGCCAAGGCCTATTTCATACACAGTTCCTGTCTTCAAGGATTTTAAATCTGGTAGGAGTGAAGAAACAGACAGCGAAGCAGAATTGAAAAGATGTATCAGTAAAGAGCTATAGAGAACACGCTGAGGATAGAGTAATTATGCCCTGGAATCAGGAAAGCCTTCACAATGGAGTGGCACTTGATCAAGACCTGCAAAGATTATAGCATTTTAATGGTGGAGACAAAGAGGAAACACATCTCAGAAAGA